CAAAGAGAGCTGTAGAGAAATGCTGCTGCACACCAACTTCCTCCAATATAAAATCTTTCATCTTAGAGGGAACCTTCTCAAGACACGGCATTCTCTAGGGTGGAGAACACATCCTACCCTTCACGAAAGATCTTTATGATTTGGGATGTTATAAAAGGAGGTGATATCCCTTCCTGTGGGAAAGCTCAGGTAGTAAACAACTCAATGGCTTTAAGAAGCCCTGGAACTGACAAAATATACTAGGCCTCCCAGTCTCCAAGCTTATGTAAGCAAAAGGGACTACTGAGAGACACTCTCAGACAAATTCATCTGTCCAGAAGATTCTTGGGCAAGACAAGCTGCCTGGAAGAGGCAGATCGCCTAATCTGCCTAGAAGCTGCTGGGATCGCATGAGAGGCCTGGAAGAGACTCAAGCCAACTGATGTGCCTGGAGAAAAGCACTTGGACCCTGTTGAGATGCCTACACGTTGTGCATGCACTGTTTCCAGCTTTCATGAGCTCTCACTTGTGTTGGATTGGGCTTCTGATGATAGCTTTTCCCCCCGTCATTTCTGCTATTGTAACTCCTCATCTGTATGCCTGTAATTAACTGTAATAAAACTGTAATTGTTTCATTAATTTGGACTTGGGTGCTATTCACACTTTGGACTGTCCTCATTTTCTTGTCTGGGGTGAGCAGACATTTGCTCCTGTCTGCCCAAGAAGAATGCCACATGCTAAAGATGCAGAATGTCCTATTGGGAGCTAGTTCATGACCTGGGTCCATGTTTTGTGTGTTGATTCCACAGAGTAGGTTGCATCATTTTCACTTTAGAAGAAGAAAAAAAAAAAAACACAGCTGGTAAAACTGTTCATTCAGTAAGGTGCCCATCATACAAGCCTAAAGACCCAAAATCTATTTATATAAAAAGATAGGCATTTCAATGTGTACCTTTAATCCCACCACTAGGGAGGAAGAGACAGGAGAATCCCTGTAGCACACTGACCAGCCAATCTGTCTAAATGGGTCAAGTCCAGGTTCAGTAAGAGTATCTCAAAAGCTTATGATGACAAAGATAAAGAAGGCCTGCCTGTCTACGTCTGGCTTCTTTACACATACATATACACACACATGTAAATATGTACCTGGACACACACTTGCACACGCACATACACACACACACACACGCACACACACACACACACAGGAATATATCCTATTAGATCAAGAATGATATAGGTGACAAAGAGGGCAGACAGTCACCTCCAGAAGCAGGACTGTTCTTTTCATCAGGATAACTAAAGAGATGGAGGCTCTCCTTGGAGTAGAGACTGTGAGCTTGTGGAGTGGGGGTCTTGGGGTTTTACAGATGAAATAAGAGGAAATTTGGGGATGAAAGAGTCCATGTGGGGGCTAGTTCCCCTGCAGTTTGGAGGTGATGAGTAGCACCAGGTTTGGTATGTGGATTTCCTTACGAGAAGCTTCAGTCAAGTCAACTTTCCTGTCTCGAGTTTCTCAGTTCACATGAGGCTTTTAAGTAATTAACTCATCACGCACCAACAATAAGAAAACAAAATGAGTAAACAGACTAAGGAGTTTAAGTAATTTATCCAAGTAGCAGAAATAGCGTTCTTTTTCAAGTGAGTCAGCACTCAAGTCAGAATTGCTTAAGAGAAAATATAAAACTCTTGGAGTTTGCTGGAGGCCATGGTTGGGTGACTAATTTTCTTATATTCTCTGTCTGCTTCTTGTCACTTGCCCCATTCTACCCACAAATGACATCAAGCAAATTGGACTGAGTTTTGTACCTCAGTCAATGCGAGCCCTTTGCCTTTATCTGAAACTGACTGTGCTCATTGCTCCAAGCAATAGCACGCAAGAAGTCCTAGAGGCTTACCTGGTGATGACGGGTCAGCAACATCTGAGCCGATTAAAGGAAGAAAAGCTCCGCCAGTTCCTACACAGAAAAGGAGCAAAGAATGTACCACTCAGCAACGCTTTGGTAGACAAATTGCAGAAGGACACTTTAAAATAGTTGTTTCATTCCAGAAACAATTGTCTTGAGGCATCTTTAGTTGTATTTGAAACAATAGAAACAGAGAGACTCGAATTACTAAAAACATTGAAACTTTTAATGGAACATGGTGCCAGTATAGATGTTGTTTCTGTAGTTTGAACTCAAAACATGAAGTGAAAACGGTTGTAGATATTTGTTTACAAAAACAAAGCCCTTAAATTGCCTGTACTTGTAATCTAGTGTAAGAAGCAGTGTGTAAGGGCCATGCAAGAGATGATGATAGCCTGTGTTTTGCAAAAGTATACAAAGCATATGAACATTTATTTTATTTTATATTTTTGCAAACATTGGTGATCCCACATGATAATGAAAGCAAAACAGCAGTGTGTTCCTTTACTCCCACCAGTAGGGAGGCAGAGATTGGAGAAGCCCTGAAGCACACTCACTGGCCAGCCAGTCAGCACTTCCTCCATGAGACCAAGATGACCAAACGGTTAGCAGGGTTAGAAGCTATGTAGATGGCGTTAAGGGCTATGGCATTGCGTCCTATTGAGCTGTCACCTGGCATTGCCAACGCTTCCCTGACATGACTTCATATTCATTGTTTCCAAAACGTGCCAAACTACTCTACGATCCTGTCTATGTGATACCTGTGCTGAGCGAGGCTGTGCTTAACTTTTGTAAACTGAAGATTGACTAGGCCAGTTGAGGACTGTGGTCACTGCCTGGTCTTCACCGGTTGCTCTTCTGACTCACCGTCCATACTTTATATATACACTTCTATATAAGGGCATTTTAGAAAATAAATTCAACTTTTAAGAGTAAAAGTGATTTAAATGATTTGACAAATCTTATGCACAAGAAAATTTTCTTAAAATAGCTTTCCAATCCTCCTCAGCCTATCTGTCCCTGTTTTGTTATACTCTGCATTCATTTATAGCATCTGATGATCCACTGCATTTGCTCTTCATCGTCTTTGCTCCGCATTGCTCTGTACAGGTTGATGAAGAGGAACGTGCAACAGATCTGCTTCTTCAAGAAAAGACATCAAACTACCATAATCTGTTAGTTCTGACAGCTCAAATTAATCAACCCTTTCTTTTTCCTTGGTGGCAGGAGAGAGGGAGGAAGGGAGGGAGGATTGAGAGGGAGGCTCTGTGTTAGCATGAATCTGTGCTCTACAAAGGGAAATCTGTCCCTGTGGTTGGATAATGAAGTGCACACGCTTTCAATTAGCGACATCCCTGTGCTTCACTTGAAGGCTTTTATTTCCTGTGCTAATTTCCTACGATGATTCATGTTTCTGCATGTACAAAGAAAATAATTTAAACAATTACTCGAATCAATTGAAATAAGCATGTAACACAGCAAAGGAAACCTGTTTATCTGCAGGGGTTGGCTACAAGAGACAAACACAGCCTTTGAGCAAGCTATTTTTATCCTCTGACAAAACCAGGACACCTTCTGAAACTTGTTTAGACAAACATGTATTTGTTTGTGTGGATACAAGAAACACGTGTTTGCATTGGTGGAAGGCAGTGGGAAAAGCAATTTTCCACAATCCTGGAGAATTGATATTTCCCCAGGAACTGGAAAACAAAACAGCTCTTTTAAAATCAGCCCCTAGTCCCAAACTGCGTCTTTATGTCGTGTATATATCAGTGTGCCCAGGGGGGTGGGAGCGTCACCAGCCATGTCCTTTGGACTCCCAAGTTATATCACACCCTAGAGTCAGGTTCAGACTTTGAGAAAGTGGCTGGGGGTCTGGTCCCTTTCACTGTTCTTGCGAGGGTAGCTCCATGCAGCGTCCCTGAGCTCAGTGCTTGCCCGGACCTCTCCCAGTGAGAGACAGGAGGGGCAGCAGCTGCAAAGAATGGCCACAGGCCAGGGAGAGGAGGTTCCGCGCTCGAGGGAGGACGCTCCAGCGCTCTTCTCCGGGACTCCCTAGCTGTTCCCTGGCAGTAGCCTTGGCCGCTCGCGGTGCAGCCGCCCCGGCGCTCGTCCCGCAGCCGGGTGAACTCCGCAGAACGCCCCCTGGCGACGCGGGCTCTGCAGGCGCAGAGGCTCGGGCCGAGGGGGCGCAGAGCCACAGCTGGAGACGCGCGTGGAATCGTTCCACGACTTTGCCAGCACGGTGGCAGGGGGAGAGAGAAGCGAGCCGGAAACGGGCGTCCAGCAGCAGCGGTTGAGCCCCGGTGCCCACTCGGGGCCCCTGCGCCGAGCCCGCACGCCCCCTAGGTCGGAACAAACTCGGGGTGCAGAAGTCTGCGTTGCACGAGTTCTCCGGCTGGAGCTGGGCGCTGCCCAGCCTCGCCTCCCCAGGCGCTCTCCAGCTTCGCCAAGGTCCCTGGGAGCGCCTCGGGGGCGCAGTTTTAAGCAGCTTGCCCGTTTTCCATGCTGGGTATTCTAACCAGCCCCAACCCCGTCTCGCCCCATTCGTGCTGCACCAGTTGCCATGTGTGGGTGGCGGAGCCCTCAGCGGCCTCCTGTAGAGCCACCAAACGCGACCCCGCGTCCAGCTCCACAGCAAGCTTCTCCGGTGGAGAGGGGGTCCGCACAGCGCCGGAGCCCGGGAGTCTCGGCTCCTGAGCCCGGGCCTTGCGGGAGTGTTGTAGGGATGGCCCCGCTTACCTGATGCTTTACCCTCACCCCAGCTTTTGTGCGGAGAGACGCCCCCGCCCCTGCGGGAACCGGGGCAGTGGGCGGTGGGAGGGCCCGGGCTGGAACGCAGTCTCCTTGGCCCAGCCGCCTGCGCCGACTTCCGCGCTCCAGCCTCTAGGAAACAAAGGTAGCCCTAGCCTTTTCCTGCCCCTTCCTCCGGTTTCCGCATCATCTGGCGACAATCTGTCCGTGTGTCTGGGAACTGAGCATCCCTACTCTGTCATCTCGGAATTCCACACAGGGCTTCGAAATGTGAACGTGTCTCTCTGCCCTGGCTGGGAAGCAAGATTGCGGGGGGTTGGTGGGGGGAGGAGAAAGGGGAGGGCTCCAAAATAATCCTTCTCGTCTTATGTAATTAAGGACCCACGAGCTTTCCGAAGCACCTCTACAGTTTGCACAGTGCTCAGCTTCTCCCCTCTCCTCTCTCTCTCTCTCTTCCTCCCCTCTCTGCCCTGCCTCTTTCTCTCTGCCCCCAGCCCCGTGCGCGCCTGTGCGCGCGCCCATGTTCGTGCGTTCTTTTTCATTTCTACCATTAGGAAACCCACTCAGAGTCACTGTGAACTCAGAAGAGGCTCAGCTCTTATTTCCCACGGATTTCTGCCTCTCCGGAAACGCTGCCAGCGTATACATATGAGAGTGTCAAGCTGGAGAGACCAGAAATGAGACACGCAGGAGAAAAGGCAAAGCTGGAAGTCTGGAAGCAGCCTTAGCAGGGGTGTTGGAGCTGGCATCTGTTAAGCGGTCCCAGTCCCCTCGCTTCAGCACCGGAAGGAATGGACAGCGCCTCCCAGCTGGGCCGCAGCCTCCCGGACCCAGCTGCTGTCCTCGCAGCCAAGCCACTGTCCTCCACAAGAGCTCTTAGCAGCTAAAAGGCGGTGCCGCCGGTTCCCTTCCTTGATGGACGAAAACCAGCCCTCCTCATCCTCTGACACTCATAGCAACCCGGCTCCACGGAGTTAAAGTCTAGGCAGCAACTTCAAGAATACGTTTCTAAACGGGGCTGGGGGCGAAATGCAGGCAGAAGAGTGGAGTCGAAGTTCTTAGAAGCACCAAGGAACCATGGGAGCTGCAGCAGGAGTTGACATACTCAAAGGCCAACAGTTTTTTAAATAAGAACGTCCCCGAGTGGATTGCGGCTGTTGTGGAGATAGCTTTGGGAGAGGTTGGAGATCCTAAACCCCAACGTTAAGAGAAGCTGGGAAGACCTCAGTTCCTCTGCTCAGCAGGTATGTGGTAACACTATTGGGTTCGTGTTCCAACACTCACACTAATGACTTTGCAAGGTTTAACAGGAGAGATGCAAACATTACATGTTGAGGGTTAAGGAAAATGAGTACTTCTCTGGTTGTTTAAAAATAATTATTCCTAGATTAGTATCTTAGAACGTCTCTTCCTTGATAAATTGGTCTGGAGTTTTACTTTTCTGGAGTGTCTTACGTGACAGAGATCACAACGATATGTAGTTGACTTAAATTAGCCTAGTAAACTTTTGCCTGGACATTTTCTCACTGCTTAACCTTTGGGAATCTCTGTGTGTCTTTTTATTTTCTTTAAGACTAATGTGCACTGGTGTTTGGTGATCATATGCATTCAGTTAAAAATGATTCTGGTTGTGTTTTATCGCATCTGAAACTCAAAAAGTTGGAAATGGACATCAACTCTTCTAATATTTTAGATAGTTATAATTTGCTAAGATACCAATATCTGATCAGTTTTGTAATCAGAGCCCACAAGTGTAGCTAATCAGCAAGCTAATCTGTAGGCTAATCAACAGATATCTCCAGGCTGTTCTGTCAGCCTTGACCCTCTAGAAAGCAGGAAGTAAGCAGCTTTCTTGTCCATCTTTAAGAGAGTGGAGGTTCCCTCAATGTTCATACAAAAGATATTTGTTTCTGAGATCAATTGATAGAGACTAGTCAGTTCCTAACAAACCATGAATCTTAACATGATAATTTATTTTTTTTCTTGATACCTTTCTAGACTCTTCCTCTAGAGCTTTAAAATTACAGCTTCCACAGTGACCTTGCTAAGCATTGTGCATTAATGAAAGAGGTTTTCTGTGTAGAAGCAGTTATACAAATGTATAGTCTGTAGCTGGCATTTCAAAAAGAACTCACTCAATTCCTGTGGGCACATTCTGCTCATTGGAGAGCTTTGACTCACAGGAAGGATTCTCCTAGTCATGATGGCATGCTTAACCAAGTCTGTGGAAACAGTTTCTCTCTTGAAAAACTGCAGGAGTTCAGAAGATTTTTTTTTTTTTTGTAAATTATAAACCATGTGTAACTGAAAGTAAAATACCTCTGTGTCATATTCACACTAACACTCATGTTCTTGGTTTGAACACCTAACCCTCTGAGCCAGGGTGGTACTTGTTGGCGAACCAATAGCTGCTTGTTTTCTATTGACTGAGAGTAATGATTCTACTCCAAGGAACTGTCATTTTAAACTGCTACTCACCACTCACCAAGAAGCTGCTTGCATCACGGATAGAGCGAGACGCTCCCCGGGGGCATGTTTGCCCTAGATGGGTCAGAAATGATCATGAGAGGACTAGGAGGCTGCATTAATTGATGTGAATTTCTCCAATGCGACTCTTATAGAATCCTTTTCTTTTTCTAGTCCAAGAAACGTGGAAGCAAATTGCCACATGGAAGATGTATTCAGAGAGTCACAGCATATGACTAGACTGTGACTTTGGTTATTAATTAGTTAATGTAGACCGACTCCCCCAGTCAGGGGGGCATAAATGAGATGTGGGAAAATGTGCTCCGGAACGAAGCCTGAGTGTCTTACCACCGCAGTTCCCTTCACAGGGGTGGAGAGGGCAGGCTTTCTCCATGTGGAACAGAAACCAAATAAAGTAAAAGTTACCTTTGCCTAATCCCTTCCTGAAGTAAATAACTCTAATTCACCACTCCAAATCCAAGAAAGCATATTGAAGCTGCTGTCTCTGGAGAAATGTAACACTGGGGTAGAAATTTTGTAAGCCTGCGTAGTAGCTGTCTAAAGGCTAATCTCTCATCACAGCTAAGTGAGTGAATAAATGGATAAACAAATAAGTGAACCAATAAAGGAGTAACAGGGTTACTGGAAATCAGCTTTCATTTTGATTCCACTCATCTCTGAAAAGATACCAACACTTCATTTGAAATAGTGTCTCCCATGCATGGAAGCAGTCCCTGCATAGTGGAGATTTCGTTTTATATCGTAAAAAGGATGTCCAGGTTTTATGGTTATCAGCTCAATTAGTTTCTCAACACTAGAAGTGATTTCAGTCGTGGAACCTGTTCTAGTCTGTTCCTCTTTTTGCCTAGAGATAGAGTGACTGCAGGTTGGAAAGAAATTCTGACTCATCTTTAAATTACAAATCATTATAAAAGCAGGACATAGACGCTAGGAATGGTAAATCATACCTCTAATTTAAGCATTGAGGAGGTTGCAACAGGACAATTGTGGGAAGTTTGAGGCCCATATGGGATGCACAGGGAACTGCAGGTTAGTTTGGGCTGAATATTAAGATTCTGTACCAAAAATCTGAAACCCAAACCTAAATAGGAACTAAACCATAAAAACAAAACTATTTGACTAAACTTTTCTGTAGACTACCTAAATGTTAATTGACTATTCCAATGCAATTATAATTAATTCTAGATCATTTTACATTTGAGTTTTTATAGCTGGACTTTAATGTTGCTCATTTGTTTGAGTTTTAATGCATTAAAAAACATTTAGAACATGAGGTTATTATTTTTCAGATTTAAGAAGGTCCTTTAATGGTTGGCATTGTTTTACCATTTAAAAATCTATGAGTTTTTCTATTCATTGTGGTCTGGTACATGAAGCAAAATCTACTAAGGAAGAAAAGAATGTTGTTAGCCAGAAATTGGCCATCATATCTTTTTCAAAACCTGTACAGTGAGCAATAGCAAGGAACTCAGATGGAAAGCACACTTAGTATTTTCCTCCTCTGCAGCCGAAGGTGCTAAACATGGCAACTGCAGTATCAAACATGCTATGTAGTCTGACGAAGACAAACACAGGCTGTTTGGCAGTAAAATGACCAGGTTTCCGGAAATGCTGCTGTGGGGTACAGGACAAGTCACCCGGTCCACAAATGTTTCATTTTCTTCCCTCAAGTGGGGAGACTTTATCAGTCAAGAAGAAGCAGAACTTTATGTATAGACACAAAAAATTTCTTAAATATTAACCAACTGGTTGAATGATATGCGTTTTATGGACAATTAGGAAGTGTAAATATGATACTCTGAGAGTCTCTGGGGGAACTTCAGTGTTAGATCGATCTGAGTGTTATTATAAGAGATTTCTAACAGCATTCATCCACTCACGGAAAAGTTCCCTGAAAATTGCCACACATCAAGAATACGTAGGTTAAAGACTCTTGATGAAAATATTAAGATTTCCTGATAATGCTATAGTTTTTTTTAAAACATCTGCTTTTGGTATAAATATTTTAAGCCAGGAAGAATTTGGTTTAAAATATTTGTTATTCAACGTCTGTGCCCATATTTTCTATCAGTTGGTCAAATTTAGGTTAACAGGATCCCACTTCACCCGAACAACTTTCCTTTTGACTTTTGAGAACATTATCACTGTCCTCGTGTCACGATTTTCTTCTCTGTGAAGGGTTAGCATCTATCACTAATCGTATGGACACAGAAGCCCACAAGACTAGGTAGGCTTTGAAACTATCTGAAAATGCAACAAGAATGCATCTGGTTTGTTTCTGGTCCGTGGGGATGGAGTGAAATGCAGATTCCACGGGGCTGATTGTTGGGACTAAGGCGCACATGCTGTGAGGGTGAAGTCTTCACGTGGTCTGAAGACTACGTTATATTCCCATGTCACCTCAGGAACTCTCAAGTTTCATCACACGTCACAATTTGTTTTTGTGGGATGGCATTTGCTATGCTGTAACTGTTATTTGTGCAGATTTCTAGACTATCATTTAAATAGACTCATATTTAAGAAATATAAATTATCGTTTGGTGCCATACTAATTTCTAATATGTTTTGTGGTCAAATCATGATTGGTACAGAAAAATAAAAATTTTGTAATTATTTGGATATAGAATTTTAAATTGTGAGAATCGACTTGTTTCTTATATAAAAGAGGGGCAGATACAAATAGAAAGTGAAAGAAACTATTTTCTATTGCCTGAGAATTTTGTCTTTTATCATTGTGAAGCTTGCTCAGAATTGTAAGTACCCAAATACTCAAAGAATTAGAGATCATTCTGGTTTTCAGTAACTTGATCTTTAATTTCCCATCACAGGCAGAGTACTGAAGTTTATTAAACAGTAAAATCTGCATTAAACAATTCATTAAGTAATTGACAGTTATTTATCAAGTTTAGTTTACACAATATAAAATATAATTACATATTTATTATTATATAATTATTTTATTTAGCAAATATTTTACCATTCATTCAAAATTTTAGCTAAGGATTTCCTTTTTTTTTTTTTTAAAGGAATGAATATTTGGTAGTTATTCATCATAAACGAGTAAGGGAGCAATCTTGTAGAAATTGTACCAGAATTTAACAGTACTGTGTTAAAAAGCTGTAAAACATGTTGTAAAGGCTTAAGCAAATAAAAGAGGGCAATGCATAGAATAAATATCAACTATGGAGTACATTCAATGAGACTGGTGAGCAAAGAGTGTTGCCTGGTGGAAACTGCATCAAGCACATACCACATCTGGGTTCCCATATGCTCTTATTCCATTCATGGTTACACAGTCTCGGGCAAATCTATCTGTTTATTAGCTTATGGGAATTCTTGAACTGTTGTGCCCATCAGGAAAGTATATGGAAACCAATGGAAGGTTTATGTGAACTCATACTTCTTCCTCATGCTCTAGTACTCTCATGATGGGCAGGATACAAACTTAGGACCCATTGGCCCATTCCTTGCTAGATTTTGCTGCAGACAACTGGATTCAGTTGTAAAGACTTGTACCCCACATAGGACATTTTTTTTCTTTTTAAAAATTATTTATTTATTTATTCCAATTTATTCACTTTGTATCCCTGCTGCAGCTCCCTCCCTTGTCTTCTCCCAGTCCCACCTACACTCCTTCTTCTCCCCCTATGCCCTTTCCCTAGTCCCCTGATAGGGGCAATCCTCTTCTAAGGCTGGAAGCATCATCTTCTTCTGTGGCCTGGCAAGGCTGAAACCCCCAGGGGAAGGTGATAAAAGA